TTACCATGACATTTTACCTCCAAAAAGCCTTGAAAGGGTTAACTCTGATCTGTCTCAGAACCCAATGTTGTCACATGGGCAGGAGTTAACCCAAGAGGTGGAGGCAATACCCATTTCTACTTCACTTCCTCCTTCTGGCTGTGTGATTCTCTGTATGATGTAAAGATCCCTTCCATATGTCAGATCAACACTTTGTCAGCTCTTTTGGTTCCTGTGTTTATTGCACAAGTTACAAATTTTGTATGTTTAGATATAAATAACATGGCACAGCGTGCTGTCATCTTTCTGGATTAACTATGGATAGGATATTGCTTAACAGTGGACTAGGCTAAACTAATATCTATAACATGGAGAATGCAGCCTATCCATTCACTAGAGACCGGTGACATCACTGAGAATGCAGCCTATCCATTCACTAGAGACCGGTGACATCACTGGGAATGCAGACTATCCATTCACTAGAGACCGGTGACATCACTGAGAATGCAGCCTATCCATTCACTAGAGACCGGTGACATCACTGAGAATGCAGCCTATCCATTCACTAGAGACCGGTGACATCACTGAGAATGCAGCCTATCCATTCACTAGAGACCGGTGACATCACAGAGAATGCAGCCTATCCATTCACTAGTGAGCGGTGACATCACTGAGAATGCAGCCTATCCATTCACTAGAGACCGGTGACATCACTGAGAATGCAGCCTATCCATTCACTAGAGACCGGTGACATCACTGAGAATGCAGCCTATCCATTCACTATAGACCGGTGACATCACTGAGAATACAGCCTATCCATTCACTAGAGACCGGTGACATCACAGAGAATGCAGCCTATCCATTCACTAGAGACCGGTGACATCACAGAGAATGCAGCCTATCCATTCACTAGAGACTGGTGACATCACTGAGAATGCAGCCATTATCCATTCACTAGAGACCAGTGACATCACTGAGAATGCAGCCTATCCATTCACTAGAGACTGGTGACATCACTGAGAATGCAGCCCATCCATTCACTAGAAAGCGGTGACATCACTGAGAATGCAGCCTATCCATTCACTAGAGACCGGTGACATCACTGAGAATGCAGCCCATCCATTCACTAGAGACCGGTGACATCACTGAGAATGCAGCCCATCCATTCACTAGAGACCGGCGATATCACTGAGAATGCAGCCTATCCATTCACTAGAGACCGGTGACATCACTGAGAATGCAGCCCATCCATTCACTAGAGACCGGTGACATCACTGAGAATGCAGCCCATCCATTCACTAGAGACCGGTGACATCACTGAGAATGCAGCCCATCCATTCACTAGAGACCGGTGACATCACTGAGAATGCAGCACATCCATTCACTAGAGACCGATGACATCACTGAGAATGCAGCCCATCCATTCACTAGAGACCGGTGACATCACTGAGAATGCAGCCTATCCATTCACTAGAGAGTGGTGACATCACTGAGAATGCAGCCCATCCATTCACTAGAGAGTGGTGACATCACTGAGAATGCAGCCCATCCATTCACTAGAGACCAGTGACAACTTTGTGGGAAGAGTTTTGGGATGGCCCCTTCCTGTTCCAACATGACTGCACACCAGTGCACAAAGCAAGGTCTATAAAGACATGGAGGAGCCAGTTTGGGGTGGAGGAACTTGACTGTCCTGCACAGAGTCCTGACCTCAACCCGACAGAACACTTTGGGATGAATTAGAGCGGAGACTGTGAGCCAGGCCTCCTCCCCCGACATCAGTGCTTGACCTCACAAATGTACTTCTGGAAGAATGGTCCAACCTTCCCATAGACACCCTCCTAAACCTTGTGGACGGCCTTCCCAGAAGAGTTGAAGCTGTTATAGCTGCAAAGGGCGGGGCCAACTCAATATTGAACCCTACGGACTAAGACTGGGGGGCCATTAAAGTTCATGTGTGTGGAAAGGCAGGCCGACCAATACTTTTGGCAATATCGTGGATCTTTCTACAGATTTCAGCTGAATCAGGCTTTCAACGGGAGTACCGGCTTTGTTAGATGAAGAGGTCAGTCATGAAATGGGACAGTGGACAGTCTGCAGCCCTGCAAACTAAAGAAAAGTGATGTCATCTATGCTGTCATGTAACTCAGCAGGGACAAGCAGATTACAAATCCGTGCTCATTGTTTTACATCTCCTGCTCTGCTTGGCTGCCCCCTCCCTGAATCGCCAGCCCCCCCCACGATGTGACCGTTTTTGCTGGCAGTGAATATGCTGTGGCCTCCTCTTTAAACCCAGTTGCTAGTTTAACAATGAGAGCTTGGAGTGTCTTGATAAGCTGTATCCAATTATGGAGTACTTCCAGATGAGGCTGCACTGGGAACACAGGCTTTTCTCTCAAACAACTCCGAAGATTCCTACTTCACATGTGCCTTATGTATCCTTTTGTCTCTCAGCTCAAATTATCCTGAAGTTATTATTTGGTATAAAAATATTAAAGCTTAACTCCGAGCAGATATAAAAGACACATTAATGCAGCTCTGTATTCAATAATGCAGCATGAATCTTTTCAATGCAAGTATTATTATTATACAGGATTTATGGCGCCAACAGTTTGCTCAGCGCTTTACAATATAACAGGAGACGATACAGCAACAATACAGTTCAATACAAGAGGGATAGGAGGGCCCTGATCCTGGGAACTTACAATCTAGAAGTAGTGTAATTATCTGATTTTGACTTGGCATCAGCCTCTTGCAATCACTGTACAGCAGAGCTCAGACTGGGAAAGGGAGGAGTGTAAGGATCCAATCAGCAGTGCAAGAAACATGCTGATAGGAGGAGAGAGTGACAGAGATTGGCTCATTAGTCTGCTGCTTTTCCTTTCACTGTCCAGTCACATGATGGGGGAGGGACAAGACCTGTGAGCGTTACTGAACTGCAGCCAAGGAAAACCAGGTCTCCTGCCAGACAGAGCTATCTGTCACAAAGCTGTGTACGCTTCTGGACAGGAATACAAATCTTTTGGCAGGTTAAACAGCTACTTTACTGTATATATCTCCTAGATTGTAAGCTCCCAGGATCAGGGCCCTCTTATCCCTCTTGTATTGAACTGTATTGTTGCTGTATTGTCTCCCGTTATATATTGTAACGCGCTGAGCAAACTGTTGGCGCCATAAATCCTGTATAATAATAATAATAATAATAATATAAATCCTGTATAATAATAATAATATATAAATCCTGTATAATAATAAATAAATCCTGTATAATAATAATAATATATAAATCCTGTATAATAATAATATATAAATCCTGTATAATAATAAATAAATCCTGTATAATAATAATATATAAATCCTGTATAATAATAATAATAATAACATATAAATCCTGTATAATAATAATATATAAATCCTGTATAATAATAATATATAAATCCTGTATAATAATATTATATAAATCCTGTATAATAATAATAATATATAAATCCTGTATAATAATAATAATAATATATAAATTCTGTATAATAATAATATATAAATCCTGTATAATAATATATAAATCCTGTATAATAATAATAATAATAATATATAAATCCTGTATAATAATAATAAATCCTGTATAATAATAATATATAAATCCTGTATAATAATAATAATATATGCGATTTCATCTTTGTATTTAGCATTTTGCCTGGAGTTCAGCTTTAAAATGGATTTCCAAAATATAGGAATGAATGTTACCAAGTAAAATGTAAGTGTAACACTTTCAGGTATTTATTACCTTTCACAAAGATCACTCCTGACAATGCTTCCATCTGGTTTTCTCTCCAGAAAGACAGAGCCATCTTTTATTCAGGCATCATCTGGGATCACCTTCTACTTCCTGGACTGAGGTTTAAAGACACTGAGAAAATGCTTCCTTCTGCCGCAGCAGACTGATGACATCATGTCAGCCTAGGCAGAGTTACTAACTGAAGCTCAAGTGCAACTTCTTCAGTACCAAGAGCTACACTCGGGAATACCATGCGGCACTGCTCCGACATTTGCTCTTCACTTACCTTACCATGCGCTCCCGCGATGTGTCCCCTGCAGCATCCCCGGCCATCTCCTCCGGCTGATGCCGGCATCCGGCTTCTGTGTCCTGTCCCTGTGGCGTCGGGACGTACGGGCACCGCCGGCGGCGGCGGGAAATGTAAAAATTTTAAAAAAATGTCATTTTTTTTTTTTACATTTTACATAGTAAAACATTGCTGTCTCAACCAATTTCACATACATTTTGTCCCTACTGCTTTGTCCGGCGCCCTGCCTGCATTTTGTCTGTTCTTTCTGCCTGGAAACTGAGAAACGTCCATGGCGTCCAAAAAGCGTCCCTTTAGGTCAAAAGCGGTTTAGATCAGCTAGAGAACAGCGATAGTAAATCAGAACCACTTGCAGAATTGAGTGATAATGATTCGTGGGGGAAATTCCTCATCAGACACTGAAAACGATTCTGCGACTGAGCTCAGTGATGTGCGAACTTGGCGCTATATTTCACATTTCAGTGTTTTTGGTTTGATTATATTATTGAATTAAATGTATTATTATTATATTATTATTTTTTTATGATTATTTATTAAATTATAATTTATGATTTCGTGTTTCAAATTTTATCCTACCCGGGATGTTTACTAGACTCTTGTTCAGACAGATTTCAGTGAGTTATTCCTAAAAATTACAGCCTACAATAAAAAAAAACTACATATTTCCATGCAAAAAAATGGTACCGCTTTCAGCACCAAAAATCGGAAAGAATCATTCCGCCAAGGAGGTTAAACAAGTCCAGTAAAAAAATTTTTAAAAATCGAATTTTCATCATAAATTTAGGCCAAATGTATTCTGCTCCGTGTCTTTGCTAAAAAAAAAAATCCCAATATGTGTAAATTAGTTGGTTTACGTGAAAGTTATAACGTCTACAAATGACGGTATATATACTGGAATTTTTTTTTTTAATACTAGTAATGGCAGCAATCAGTGGCTTATTGTGGGACTGCGGCAGGCATTGACACTGGAGGGGGGAACTGACTTGGTGTCACTGACATCCCTAGTGACACCAATACAGTGATCAATGCTATTAAAAAGCACTGGCACTGTACTAATGACACTGGGCAGGAAGGGGTAACATCTGGGGTGATCAAAGGGTTAACTGTGTGCGGTGTGTGTTTCACTGTGTCAGCATACTGCTTTGTATGGCTCTGCTGTGCAGAGCCATACAAAGCAGTGTGCAGGAGCTGACAAAGGATCTGTACAAACCTCTCCCCCGTCAGTGATACTCAGCGATTGCCGGGTGCCAGCGGGGAATCACCATCCAGGGCCCGGTGAACGACAGCTAAGGCCGCCCGAGGCGGCGCGGGTAGGGCGCGCACATGCCCCCTACCCAGAAATGCAAAATCACGTATATACACACGTGATTTTGCGCAGCCCTGCCACCCTGTAGCAGTATTTTTGCTATAGGTCAGTGGGAAAATGGTTAAACTATTGGTGGCTGCCATGCAAATGACCAGAAAGAAAAACGATTTGTTTCAAACAATATCAAATCTATAATAATAAAACAAACAGCCTTCCTAAACAAAGCTGGCTTATCAGCTAAACCTGCTACTCCGGCCCAAAGGAGAAGGACATGTAAATCTTGTATGAATGCAGCATTTGGCGGCAGATAGTTCACAGATATATAGAACAGCAACTGCTTTGGCCTAGCTGCCATGCAAACTAGTATATACACCAATCAGCCATAAGTTTATGATCACCCAACTAATACTGAGTAGGTCCCATTTTTCCGCCAAAGCAGATCTGACTCATCAAGGCATGGTCTTCACTAGACCTCTGAAGGGATGCTGTGGTATCTGGCACCAAGCTGCCAGTAGCAGAGACTTTAGGTCCTGTAAGTTGCGAGGTGGGGCCTCTATGCATCTGACATATGCTTGATTGGATTGAGATCTGGAGAATTTGGAGGCCAATTCAACACCTCAAACTTGTTACTGTGTTCCTCAAACCATTCCTGCAGTATGGCAGGGTGTGGCCACTGCCATCAAAGAATACTGATTCCATGAAGAGGTGTACTTAGTCACCAACAATGTTTAGGTAGGTGGTACATGTCATTGTAACATCCATGTGAATGGCAGGACCCAGGGTTTCCCAGCATCACATTGCCTCTGCCGGCTTGTCTTCCTCCCATACTGCATCCTGGTGCCATCTCTTCCCTAGGTAAGCCATGCACACGCACCCAGCCTTCCACATGATGTAAAAGAAAACACGATTCATCAGACCAGGCCACCTTCTTCCATTGCTGTGGTCCAGCTCTGATGCTCTTGTGCCCACTGTAGGCTCTTTTAGCTGTGGACACGGGTCAATATGGGCACCCTAACAGGTCTATGACTATACAGCTCCATACACTACAAACTGCAATGTCCATTTTTTTTGCTTTCAACACATCAACTTCAGGGACAGCATGTTCACTTGCTGCCAACTATTACCCACCCACTTTCAAATGCCATTGTAACACGATAATCAACTTTATTTGCTTAACCTGTCGATGGTCATAATGTTATGGCTGATCGGTGTGTATTTACACACATACATATATGTGACTGAAGGTCCACTTATAGCCTATAAATATTTTGGATCTAATAAGTGTCCCTTTTACTTTTATTAACCTGTCAGTGGTCAAAGTCATGGCTGATCGGTGTACAGCAGAGTTGCCAACCTACCAGATTGAAATTCACTGACTCGACACCCACATTTTATTAGCACAGCCAAGTTTTTACTGGCATTTCCAAAAGTTAAAAAATTACAGTTTTAAGTGCAAATTTCAGTACGTAGGCTACAAACAAGTACAATGTGCAATTAGCAGTGTGATTTAAGGTCGAGATTAAGGCAAAAAACATATTTCTTATTTTATTTTTAATATAGTACGTAGCTCAGGGACAGGACTCAGGAGGGGAAGAAATTAGAATGGGCAGGCACACACGGCATTGATTGTCACAGTGACACTGACAGCTGTGCACGCAGCAGCACAGATGATGACATCACACCGACATGACACATCCCCACTTGTGTCACAGTGACAGCATCTCTCGACACCAGATGATCCCTTCAGTCCACACGGCCCTGACAGTTCCGCTCCCGGCTTGCCTTGCTTCCGTCCTGCAGACCTGCACACTCGGCTCCTTCCACTCCACCGGCTCTTTTGCACCATGACATCACACGACACGGTCAGGCACCGTTTCCACCATACCTGACCCCCGCCAGCACCGCCCGAACACACTGTAGCAGGCACTCGGCTGGCTTTGAATCAGCACTGAGCATGCGCAGTTCCCAAGCCGATCAGCACATCCATATTTTTTAACTGGCAACCTTTGCCTGTCACTGGCATTTACTGGCAGGAGAAAAGTGCCCAGTTTTTACCGGCTGCCAGTAAAAATACTGACGGTTTACTGTTATGTCATTTACAAGAGAATTCCAAGCTATACTCAATGCAGTGATACAATGTACAATGAAAAATCACTTACCTATCTATTATTTCTGAATAGGGACTGTGTCAGGAAAGGAAGCCTTCCTCTAACAAGGTTCTGCTACTGGATGCTAACTTGTCATTGCACACAATGTAATTATATGCAACAGTGGTCTCTTTCTTCAGCCACAATTGATTTAATAGTCGTTCTGAGCTTTGGGATACTGATTTGTAACTTGCAGTGCAGGCGCTGCTATTGATGACAAAAAAAAAAAAAGACAAAAACACAAAGTGCACATACTGTATAAACTAGCCTTGTATACAAATGGTCAAAGACTTCCCAGGAGAATAGAGACTGTTCTAACTAAGGGCAGGGGTGTCCCTAGGGTTGGTGTCACCCAGTGCTATAACACTTGGTGACACCCCCTCTGATGATCCCCGCACAATAGATCGGATCTGCAGATTGAGCATAATGGATCAGACTCCGATCCATTATGCTCCCCAATCCGCAGATCCGATCCATCCTGAGGGGATCGTCGGCATGCAACCTATACGGGGTGACACCGGACCCGCTCCACGAAAAGCTAAGTTGTAAAGAAAGCCGATCCCCGCAGGATGGATTGGATCCATCCTGCAGGGATCGTCGGCTTGCTTTATAACGTACCTTTTCGCGGAGCGGGTCGGGTGTCACCCCATGCGGTAGGTGTCACCTGCTGCGGCGCGCACCCCCTGCACCTGCCTTGGGACACCACTGGCTAAGGGTAAGAGGGAAAATCCAGCCCTGGTAATGGCAAATGCATGCAGTTAGGAACCCAGAGGCCAAAATCTCAGTGCCAGAGTCCCAAAGAGTTATAGGATACAGGTGATTTAACTGATCTAGTGACACAACAAAGTCCTTTAACACCCAATGCAAAAAGTACAAATGCCCCCCTAAACAGCAGCATAGGTTGCAGGTCCTGCCCTTTTTGCGTACAACTCCTGTTGAACTGCCCAAGGTGGCCACCGCTTCTGCCTACCCTTTGGCCCCCACCCTGTGGTATATACAGAAATCTGAAATATTGGATATGGATAGACAGACTGCTAAAATGATTGGGCACTCGAAGCTTTGGTTCCCACCTCTTGGTAATATCCTGATGTCTGTGTCATATAGATTAGCATGCTGGCCTCAGTTCTGCAGATGGAAGGTCCGACTCTTTTCATATTTTTGTGTGCCATTGCAGAGAGCTGCGTGTGTGGGTGTGTGTTTATCAGACAGCCGAGATGTCTGAGAGTCACGCAGTGAAGTCAGGACAAACTACCTGCACCGTATTCAAGGACAACAATTTCCTGTTGTAACAAGACCTTCTATATTTGCCACTCTTCTGCAGAGGAGGAATTCTGCAAAGCAAGAAAAATGGGTTAAGCTTTTATTTTCTCTTACAGGGCACCTTTATATGCTATGCTTGGAAAAGAAAAAGCTGACCGACACCCCCCCCCCCCTTTTTTTTTTTTTTTTTTTTTAAAGTAAAATCTTGGATGAAAGATTTTACCCTTTCCATAACACCCATCCAACAAGAACAACCCTCTCTTTTTTGTTAGCACACCATCAGCAAAAGAGACAACGTACATGTACTTGTTGTCTGTTCTTCTTTGCTATGTTATGGAGCTACATCCCCCTACAGAACCTTCATATTTGACACTTCAGGGAGTGTCGGCACTTTGCTTCCATACTCCTTACATCGCTATAGGGCACTGTAGTGATGTTGGGGTTGGCAGATGGAACCATAATGCACAACAGGGGACACAGGCATCTCATGCTCTTGAAGTGTCGGATCTAAAGATTCTGCAGGAGGCCGTAGTTCTGCATGTGAACAAGGATCCAAGGATTGGGTAGCAGAACAGGTGAATACAATCCATCTTCTTTTGCAGCTGCAGGAAGATTTTGGAAATAATTACAGTGAGGGTTTGAGGTGCCTCTTAATAGCTAATCTTTTCCATAGGCTAATCTGCCATGGTAAGGCAAATAACACACACATAACCAGAGGAAACCCCAAATACAAAAACATACCTAGAGGAAACCCCAAATACAAAAACATACCTAGAGGAAACCCCAAATGCACACACATGCCTAGAGGAGACCCCAAATGCACACACATGCTCAGAGGAAACCCAAAATGCACACACATGCCTAGAGGCAACCCCAACTACACACACACACGCCTAGAGGAAACCCCAACTACACACACACGCCTAGAGGAAACCCCAACCACACACACACGCCTAGAGGAAACCCCAACTATACACACACGCCTAGAAGCAACCCCAAAAACACACATGCCTAGAGGAAACCCCAACTACGCACACACACGCCTAGAGGAAACCCCAACTACACACACGCCTAGAAGCAACCCCAAAAACACACATGCCTAGAGGAAACCCCAACTACGCACACACACGCCTAGAGGAAACCCCAACTACACACACACACGCCTAGAAGCAACCCCAACTACACACACATGCCTAGAGGAAACCCCAACTACATACACATGCCTAGAGGAAACCCCAACTACATACACATGCCTAGAAGCAACCCCAACTACATACACGTCTAGAGAAAAACCCAACTACACACACACCTAGAGGAAACCCCAAATACACACACCTAGAGGCAACCCCTAAGTACACACACACCTAGAGGTGACCCCAACTACACACACATACCTAGGAGAAACCCCAAATATGACACTGCCCTTGTTAAAGAGTCAGTCTCTTTCAAGTGATAATTTAGTTATATATTGAGCCTGGAAAGCGGAGTCAGTCCCCGATATTTCTTGGCTGCCCCAATGAAGAGATCTCCACCTGGGAGGTTTGGGTATTCCTGCTCACTTTTGTGTATTTCAGTTTCTCCAGTTAAAAAAATGAAAATAAATATAAAACCCACCAGGGATGGTGGAAGTCCTTAAAATGGGCACAACTGGTGTGTAGGCCCACCGATCTCACAGTTCCCTGAGCGTTGACAGAGACTGTCAGCGAGGTTAAACCCATAGCCAAAAAATGTAATATACTGCAGCTTACCAATCATTAGACAGGAGGAAGAGGCTAGGAGCGCCATCCAGGGACCTGAGAAGAGGAGGATCGGGGCTGCTCTACCACTACACAGAGCAGGTAAGTATAACATGTTTGTTATTTAAAAAAAAAAAAAAGAAATGCCTTTAATATCACTTTAATTTTGGACCTGGGAAAGTATGCAAGTATGTAAACATATAGAAATAATAATAGGTTCATCGGCTCATGAAATAGGTCTCTTTTAGTTGGGTGGTTGGGATGGGAAGTGTGGCATTATAGGGTTAAATCAGGAGGTTAGGATAGAATACTTCCTCACTTCCTCTCAAATGCTCTCCAAAAAGCACTGCGATTGGAAGGAGAGAGCCTGAGATGGGTACAGTGGGGATTTCTGCACGGCTCCTGAGGCTTGCAGCATGCAGGTGCTAATACAGGAAGAACTTGGCCAGGTAGAAGAGTGGCAAAAGAGCGTCAGGACATCTAGGCAATGCTCTCCTGCCAGATCTGAGCCTCCCCTGCTGTACAGATCAGCCCCTCAGGCTCCCTCCTTCCAGTTCTTGCAGCTCTCCACATAGACACCAGTCACCATGTATTCTCTGAGGAAGCCGACAGGCTCAGGCATGCTCACAATGAGTCATCGAGGGACAGCCAAAGGGCTGGATTTGGCCCGGGGGCCGCAATTTGTCCAGGTCTAATTTTAAAGGTGTCCATATACTTTTGGCCATAGAAGTAATGGTCCTTGAATGTATATTGTGCTAGGCTCAAATTGCCTGTTCTCTGGTATTAAATGAAACAAACAAGAAGAGGGGGAAGTTTCATTAGAATAAATGATAATATGAAAATTACATTTTTGCATGAACAAATACCTTTAACTATCAGGAAGTTCAAAAAGGAACTGAATAATCATGGTGGCGGAAAACACTCAACTGTGATCATTGAGGCGGGAGAATACTAAATTGTATTTGGATGGTCTTATATAAATGATCTGGGTTTGGAAAAGCAGACTTGACTCCCTCAGCCACTAACAGTGGAGGGAAAAAACAGTAGATTGTTATCTGTCCGGAAAGATGGATCTGGACAAAAGACATATCCGAGTGTGAGTGTTAGATGACTGACTGCTTCCTGGATTGCTGTACTTAAATGCTGCGCAGTCTTATCTCCATATTAGGGACAACAAGGAGATAACGGAAAGGCAATAAAGCTGGATACATATGGGAAATCCTCTACTGTCTGGAAGGCCATGACAATGGATTAATTATCAATATGTCTTAGCATAACAAATAGGCTGTTGATTAGTCCAGCTTACAATACAAGACTGTGAAACCTGGAGGTGTGTGAATAGTCTAGGATTCTTTTTATAGTAGGTTTTAAATGCTTTAACCTTTAAAATGGTAGTAAGGTCCCGTTTGTTTATTTATAATAAGGCTTACCTGTAGGTACATTAAATATATCCTAAAAGTACACCGTTTAGGAGATATTCACTTCAGCAGCGCTGGTGATGTCACCAGTACATGCGCACTGTGCTCTCAATGGATGGCGTGCCAGAGACTTCCGTGCGCATGTGTGGGAGTGACGTCAGTGTGGCTCAGACAGTCAAATGCCGCAGCACGCAAACCCAGAAGAAAGACCGGGTGAAGATGGAAGCCCCAGGGGCCTATGACAGCACGCTCCACTGTAGGGCTTTGTTTCAGGTAAGTCTTTCATAATGTATTAATATGTGATGTATACTAGCACATTATGCTCTTAAAGAGGTTTTAAAGCCTTAAGGTTTTTCACCTTAAAGAATTCTACGCATTAAGGTGAAAAACCTTCTGTGGTGCAGCTCCACCCCCCACCCCCCCCAGCGCCCCCTTTTTCTTACTTGAGCCCAATCCAAACCAGTGATGTGCACGAGAGCAGCCTCCCTCCCTCTCCCTGGGCAGACTGATAGCAGAGGGAGCTACTGGCTCCCATTGCTGTCAATCAAATGCTGTGATGTGTGTGTGTGTGTGTGTGTGTGGGGGGGGGGGGGTCGAGCTACCCACTCTGTCAATGGACGCATGGGTGTGAACCAGCACTAAATGTTACTAGCAGTCAAATGAGAGAAATAAACAATATCACTGAGAATGCAGCCTATCCATGACATCACTGAGAATGCAGCCTATCCATTCACTAGAGACCAGTGACATCACTGAGAATGCAGCCTATCCATTCACTAGAGACCGGTGACATCACTGAGAATGCAGCCTATCCATTCACTAGAAACCAGTGAAATCACTAAGAATGCAGCCTATCCATTCACTAGAGGCCAATGACATCACTGAGAATGGAGCCTATCCATTCACTAGAGAGCAATGACATCACTGAGAATGCAGCCTATCCATTCACTAGAGAGCAATGACATTACTGAGAATGCAGCCTATCCATTCACTAGAGAGCAATGACATCACTGAGAATGCAGCCTATCCATTCACTAGAGACCGATGACATCACTGAGAATGAGCCTATCCATTCACTAGAGACTGGTGACATCACTGAGAATGGAGCCTATCCATTCACTAGAGACAGGTGACATCACTAAGAATGCAGCCTATCCATTCACTAGAGACCGGTGACATCACTGAGAATGCAGCCTATCCATTCACTAGAGAGCAATGACATCACTGAGAATGCAGCCTATCCATTCACTAGAGAGCAATGACATCACTGAGAATGCAGCCTATCCATTCACTAGAGAGCAATGACATCACTGAGAATGCAGCCTATCCATTCACTAGAGAGCAATGACATCACTGAGAATGCAGCCTATCCATTCACTAGAGACCGATGACATCACTGAGAATGGAGCCTATCCATTCACTAGAGACTGGTGACATCACTGAGGATGGAGCCTATCCATTCACTAGAGACAGGTGACATCACTAAGAATGCAGCCTATCCATTCACTAGAGACCGGTGACATCACTGAGAATGCAGCCTATCCATTCACTAGAGAGCAATGACATCACTGAGAATGCAGCCTATCCATTCACTAGAGACCAGTGACATCACTGAGAATACAGCCTATCCATTCACTAGAGACCAATGACATCACTGAGAATGCAGCCTATCCATTCACTAGAAACCAATGACATCACTGAGAATCCAGGCTATCCATTCACTAGAGACCTGTGAAATCACTGATAATGCAGCCTATCCATTCACTAGAGACCTGTGAAATCACTGAGAATGCAGCCTATCCATTCACTAGAGACCTGTGACATCACCGAGAATGCAGCCTATCCATTCATTAGAGAATGGTGACATCACTGAGAATGCAGCCCATCCATTCACTAGAGGCCAATGACATCACTGAGAATACAGCCTATCCATTCACTAGAGACCAGTGAAATCACTGAGAATGCAGCCCATCCATTCACTAGAGACCAACGACGTCACTGAAGATGCAGCCTATCCATTTATTAGAGATCAGTGACATCACTGAGAATGCAGCCTATCCATTCACTGGAGACCAATGACATCACTGAGAATGCAGCCTATCCATTCACTAGGAGACCAGTGACATCCATGAAGATGCAGCCTATCCATTCACTGGAGACCGATGACATCACTGAGAATGCAGTATCTTCAGTAGGCATACTTCGAATAGAGTCACAGATATCTATCTAACATGTACCTAAATAAACATCATTTGATTTACAAAATCCCATTTGTGTGTGGAACAAGAACATTTGTATGGCTGATCACCTTTATTAGAAAACTGCGATTATGAAAATTCTCTGCAGAAATTGTAGGTGGGAGTGGTGGGAATTAGCAGGCATTAGAAACTCATCCAGTAGGTGGCACTGAAGTCCAAAGTTACAAGTTCCATATAGGTAATTGGTAAAACTGTATAGATCCACCTGATTGATATAAATGCTGCTGTCTGATGTGTCACAGTGACTCAGGAATGACAAGCCTTATTGACAGCGACATCGTCGGCTCTATGCATAAACAGACTTTAATAGGAAGTGGAGGCGGAAGGACACAGTACTGGAATACAGTGGAATGGAAGGCTTTGTAACGTCGTATGGTTTCTCTGCTCCTGGTCACGGTCATGGGATACGATTAGTTAGCAGCCCTTGGTCGTCCTCTAAGAGATTCTCTACACGTTCCCTCTGTAAAACAACAAAGAGACAGTCAACAGTGCACAGTACACCCCCACCCCACCCCCCTCTTTTAAATATACTTATTTCCTTAAATATTATTAGTATATTACACAAAGGTTATCAGGGAAAACAGGATCATTCTAAATTCTATACCTCGTACTAACCATAGTCACGGAAACATACATGCAGTCATGAATACATACTAGTACACATACAGACACATACTAATGCAGGCCATAGATGGGTCGAAAATCGGCCGATTTTTCTTTAAAAAAAAAATGAAAAATCGGTCGTTCAAACGGCCGACGTTACCAGCAACGGTAAAAAAAAAAAAAAAAAAAAAAAAAAAAACGGCCGATTTTCATCCCGTCTACAGCCGGCAAAAAGTGTCCCTGCAGAGAGCTCCGCTATTTCTTTGACAGTTCCTTGACATTTATAGCGGTTGCAACAATGTATTTGTATCCATTTAGGATACAGATGTTTTTTATTCGGAAACAAATAGATACATTGTTGCAACCGCTATAAATGTCAAGGAACTGTCAAAGAAATAGCGGAGCTCTCTGCAGGGACACTTTTTGCCAGACTGGAATTCCTCTTCTTCTTCCTCCTCTTCATCCTCCTCTTCATCCTCCTCCTCTTCTTCCTCCTCCTCCTCTTCTCCTCTTCCTCTTCTTCATCCTCTTCTTCTTCTTCATCCTCTTCTTCTTCTTCATCCTCTTCTTCTTCATGTCTTCCTCTTGCAGGTCACGGCTCATGCGCAGATTTTTTTATCGGTAAAAAGATCGGCCGATTTGCCCATCATTGCCACGAAAATCGATCGGCAAAATCGGCCGATTTTTTTTTCCAACTTTACCGATAATAAAAATCTGCCAAAATACCAAAAAACGGCCGAACAATTAGCCCACTAACGATCCGAAAATCGGCCGATTTTATTTTCGGCCGAAAAATCGGCCGATTTTTGACCCATCTATGGCCTGCATGAGACCGTTTTAGCTAAATGGTGATTAAACCAGCAGTATGCTTTTGTATTAGAAGAAAGCAGAAGCAGCCAGAGGAATAGCTAATACACAGGTAGCTCCCTTGACAATTCAGCCTAAACTTCCTACATCCCAATACTGTTGTGCTGTGTATAAAATAAACTATTAGAACTATGTTAGAACCGTGCAGACACCTCAATACATGTAATAATCAACAATCAATGTACGAGGGACGTTCAAGTCAAACCGGGACTTTTGAGTTTATATAATAAAAGAATCAATTTCAAGAAGTGGAAACTGCATTTATTTTTTGACATACTCCCCTGCTACATTTATACACTGATCCCAGTGTTTAGCTAATGCCTGGAAAGCTTTGGTATAGAAAGATTTGTCAGTAGACCTGAACCATCCTAGGTCAACCGGCTTCACTTCGTCATCATTGTGTTCACTGTTCCCGCAGAAAGAGATTGCCTCTTGTGCGATTACACGTCAGATTACCCAGGATTTGTCAGTACACCTGAACCATCCTAGGTCAGCCAACAGCCAACTTCACTTCGATATCATTGTGTTCACCGTTTCCGCAGAAAGATTTGCCTCTTGTGAGATTACACGTCAGATTATCCAGGATTTGTCAGTACACCTGGATATCATTGTGTTCACCGTTTCCGCAGAAAGATTCGTCTCTTGTGCGATTACACGTCAGATTATCCAGGATTTGTCAGTACACCCGAACCATCCTAGGTCAGCCGTCTTCACTTCGATCATCATTGTGTTCACTGTTTCCACAGAAAGATTTGCCTCTTGTGCGATTACACGGCAGATTATCCAGGATTTGTCAGTACACCTGAACCATCCTAGGTCAACAAGCTTCACCTCGTCATCATTGTGTTCACTGTTCCCGCAGAAAGATTCGTCTCTTGTGCGATTACACGTCAGATTATCCAGGATTTGTCAGTACACCTGAACCATCCTAGGTCAGCCGACTTCACTTCGATATCATTGTGTTCACCGTTTCCGCAGAAAGATTTATCTCTTGTGCGATTACACGGCAGATTATCCAGGATTTGTCAGTACACCTTAACCATCCTAGGCCAGCCTCTGCTTCACTTCGTCATTGTGTTCACCGTTCCCACAGAAAAATTTGTATCTTGTGCGATTACACAGATAACCCACAGATTACCCCCAAGAGCTATAGTGAAGGAGATGAAGTATGTGACACCTACAACATTCAAATGCTTGATTTAATTTTCTATCCTGAATGACATCAGTGTGAATGACCTGGACTCTGACTGGTTGCAGACACACTGCTCCTGTGTTGTGTAGGAGCTCATTTCCATAAACTTACTACTCCGGCCTCACCTGAATTCGCCGTAACGAGTCACGAGTGTCTGCGTCTGTGTCCTAGGTGGCAGGAAAACTTCCAGCCTAATGGCATCCCGGGCAGTGGGTTGGCAGGAGATGAGATTGTTCAGTTCCTGAGCCTGCAAGATAATGAGCATCGCTGTCAGCAATAAAAACCCAACAGAGGTTCTATGACCTGTCCATTCAACTGCTTTCTGTGTAGGAAAGATTCCCTTCACTTCCTGTACTGTGAAAGGAAATCTGCCTAATAGGAACACAGACAATAATAAAAGTCCAATGACAGCACCAATCAAACGTCCAAGAGCTTAAAGGTAATTTACTAATAAAACTGATACATGGGAAAATAAAGCCGTTTCGGGGGCCAAACACACTCCCCCCTTCATCAGGGCTTAAGAATTTTGACTGGACTTAGGTGAGCAGAAGCCAAATAAATCTGCATTGGTTGTTTACTACATGGACCAGTTTCAGGAGGGAAGCTTACACACCAATGTAAATGAGTGCAGCAAAGGTCCTTATGTTTGAGGATTCTCAACTCTGAGTCGTTCCCTGTTCCTCCCTGAGTGCGATCCATGTTCTGTGGAGAGCGACCGAACCAGAGCCAGTGTGCCCGGTGACAACCTCAGCAACCCTGACCCTGTGTCTTGTGTTTGGACTAATGAAAACCTGACAAAAGATGCAACCCCCCCAACTCCATCCAAAACTAAAGGAAACATGAAGATGATCTTTATAGGAAACCTCTACTGAAAAAAGCACTGGGCTGCCATGCTGACCTCCTTCTAAGAATACCAGTAACATGGCTGTAACGGAACCGGACCCCGACTGCACTTGGTATTTCTGTTATAATACCGCTTCCCTGTCCGAACACCATCCACGGACACCACTCTTGAAATAAATCAGGAAATAGACTACTTTATTGTAACACGGATACAAGATATATACATTCAAGGGAACAATTCCTCCCTCCCTGCATAATGACACAGGCGGGGCAAACCACATCTAGCAACAAGAGACACATCAGCAGACACCCCCCCAACCAGGCCAATACACAAACACATACATCCCATAATAGCTTGCTCCCAAGCAAGACACACAATAGAACAATGGGATACAACCACATGGCATTAAACAATGAACAACCCCCCACCCCAGCTATACATGTCTACACAATATTATGACATATCACCCTGTACCCCTAACAGGCACAGGGTGACTTACACATAAGAGGGATATGGGGAGCTGAGACAGGTGTCTCCCCACCTCTTCAAAGTGAGAGCTGTGTTCCATGGGCCCCCCACCCAAAGTGACTCCCGTCACAATGGCTGTCTACTAGGGTTGCCACCTCATCCCTTTAAAACCGAACACATATTAATTACACAGGTTCTGAGGCTAATTTAATGCAGATGAGGCACTGAATGAGTTTCATTACCACCTTAATCAGCCAAAGAATCTAAAGAAATAATATGTGTTTGGTTTTAAAGGGATGAGGTGGCAACCCCACTGTCTACTGTTCCCTACTGAGTCACTGACCTGGAATAGGCATGCAGACTAGCAAGTCAGAGCATTATACTAGTACCAGGTTACTGCTGCTATTTTCAGAAGTCATAAATGGTAGCCCCCCCACCCCCAGGTTTCAGTCCAGTCAGGACCAGTAAGGGTGCCGGTGTCAGGAATCATCAGCAGAGATAGCCAGATCTGTGTGGCTACACTCGAGAAACTGGAACCAGACTGTATGCTTTAACCACTAGCCTACCGGGCACTTGGGCACTTGTACCCCCCCTTCCTTACCAGGACAATTTTCAGCTTTCAGCACTGTCGCACTTTGAATGACAATTGTGCGGTCATGCAACATTGTACTCATATGAAATTTTTATCATTTTTTTCCTCACAAATAGAGCTTTCTTTTGGTGGTATTTACTCACTGCTGGGTGTTTTATTTTTTGCACTATAAACAAAAAAAAAGAAGCAAAAAAAAAAAAAAGTTTCTTTGTTTCTATTATAAACTTTTGCAAACAGCTAATTTTTCTCCTTCACTGATATGTGCTGATGAGGCTGCACTGACAGGCAGCACTGATGGGCAGCACTGATGGGCACTGATAGGCGGCACTTATTCGCTGGCACTGATGAGGAGTACTGATAGGCGGCACTGATGAGCTGGCACTGATGATGGGTACTAATAGTCGGCACTGCTGGGCACTGACTGGCGGCACTGCTGGGCTGCACTGATGGGCACAGGTGGGTGGCACTGGTGAGTGGCACTGTTGGGCACCGATCATCAGTGCCGATCCCTGCTCTGACAACTGCCGGTTCTCGGCAGTACTTTCCTCACCCTCTGACAGCGTGAGGAAAGTGCAGCCGAGAACCGGCAATTGCATTTCACGGTGATCAGCGTGTCACTGGACACGGCTGATCACGTGGTAAAAGGCCGTTGTGATTGGCCTTTTACCACATCACGTGATCAGCTGTGTCCGTAAGACACAGTGATCACGGAGATCGCCGGGGGCGCGCAGGAGAGCGTGTTCTGGGAGGACGTCATATGACGGCCTCCCAGAACTGGCCGGCCGCAGTGCAGCATTCATTCGGCTACCTGCAGCCAGCAACTGGTTAAGTGAGATTTATTTACAGTGAAACAAAATCCATCCAAACACCAGCACACATCAAACATAAAAATATAAGCAAACTAAAACCCCAATGACAAAAAAAATCTAACTAGCAACCTAACAGAGTAACAGAAAATATACCTAACAAACTGGCTATATACAATATATACACAAAATGGGGAACACAGATCAACCAAGTACACTGGAGATGAAGGGAACAGATGAGACGGGGGATCAGGAGCAAGAGGAGCAGATAAGAGGCAGCAGAACAAAACACTGGAGCGAGAGGCACTAGTAGTAGGGAGAGGCACTAGTAGGGGTAGTGGGGTTGATTTACTAAAACACCCTTCCAGCAGCCAGCATCAGGTGGAAACTGATTACTGGGATCTGCTGGCTGCTGGGAGACACCCACTGATGGACACCAGAACTACAACCTTCAGCTGTGGGAAGCACCGTGCCATCAGCAGGTGATCTGGGTCCTGACAGCCGGAGGGATTTTCGATATGACAAAGGACATGTGCTTTAAGGCTGACCATACATTATACAATTTTCCAAAACCATATAATAGGAAGTCAAGCCTAAACACAACTGGTATGTGTGACTTTGAACGGTCAAGTTGCGTGACAAGTCGCACTGGTGTGAACCAGGGATTATTGTCAAAGCTTAATTGAACAAGCTGATTGATAGATCACCAAATCTTGCACTCTCTAGTTTTAGTAAATCAACCCCAGTGTATTTCTTGATAATTAATGTGCAATGTCTGATATCGAAACTGAACGCGTTTCAAAAGCTTGCATCTTTAATATTCCAAAAGACTATTAGGCTACGTTCACACTAGCGTTGTGTGCAGGCGGCAGAGAGGCGTTTGGGAAGCGTTTTTACCGCTTCCCAAATGCCTCTGCCAATTCTGCACATTACAGCACATGGTGCTGTTCTAACGGGAGTGTTTGCGTCGCATCGCAGCAAAACGGAACGCCTCTGGTCGAGCCAGGAGGCTTTGAAGCCTTCTATTCTCGTCTATGGTGCCGCTCCGCAAACGCCCGGCCGGCGTTTGCGGTGCGGTTGCGACACGGTTGCGGGGCGTTTGCGGAGCGGTAACACCACTCAAACTGCATTATAGGCGTTTGTGGGGAGTTATTAACGCTCGGCAAACGCCTAGCAACCTCCGCTAAACCGCGCATGCGGAGCGTTAAAAAAACCGCTCTGCAAACGCTGCTATAGGGGCGTTTGGCAAGCGTTGGTAAAACAGCACTACCTAACTAAGTGTGAACGAGCCCTAAGTGATGTATGAAAAAAAAAAAAAAAAACTGCATAGCACTTCACCCAGTGAAATTGCTTGTACATTCATTCTGTGCGAATGGGGCAAAAAAAAACAAATATTATTAGGCTATTAAGACTATGGATTTAAAATGGAAAATACCACATTTTGCTACTCGATAGTGCTTTCTGTCATATGCTTTGTGTAATAGAAATTATTGTAGAAATAATAAAAACAACAACATTTGACCAGCACAGGTAATAGCCTGATAACATTTGTTTTTGTGCAACAGTAGCACAGAACGAAGGTAAATGCACTTTTACTGGGAAAACTGCTATGATATTTTTTTCATTATAAATATTCCCCTTCGTGAAGTTTTTAAAGGTTTCCACCAAACAAAACATATTACCTTCTGTCATTTAAAAGTAAAGTTTCAAGCCATGTCCCGTTCTTTCCAAGAGTTGCAGATTGGAATACTTTTACACTTATATAATGAACATTAATTTAAAAATAAAAACTTTTTGAACGTTTTTTTTTTTTTTTTAATTAAATGTTGTGTAAAAGCCACGCATTTGAACATCTAACTGCTGAAGAAACTTCTGATGGTGTCATGAATAAAGCTTCCTCCAGTTACATATAAAAACAATCTATATTTCATGATAGATGCTTGTTCCTGAAAAACTGCCTTTTCAATTATTTAGGACTTGTCAGCACCTCCGCAGCCTGAGAGATGACAAGAGCAATTATTCCTAACTGCTTGTACACATTCAAGGTACCTGTTGAATCAGAGGTCTGCTGTGCTTCTGAAAGTGAAAAAAAAAACCCTTAAAAAGGAACACAATCAAAGCCAAAAAAAAAAGCATGCAGATGGAGGGATGGTAAAAAGTATATGTGACAAGAAGCTGCAGAGCCGCGCAGAAGTACATAGTCCAGCTTGCTGAGGTGTGTTGGATAACGTGACTCCTGCTGGGCGCTGTGATTCCTCCTGTTCACCCCTATGACACTACAGATCTGCCCACCAGAAAGGCAAATACAGACCTTCAGAGTGCTTTTTTTTTTTTTTTTTTAGAAGTCCACCATAGAATTACGAACATTAAACAGCCATACAATACACTTTGGTAAATGTATAGCACCATGACTCTTGCCTGTGTTCTGCGTGCCTAGCAGTCAGCACTGAAAACTGCCAGACATTTACCAGTGACACCCTGCAACCCATGGTGTCATTCAGCTATCTACATATTTGACAGTGTCAGGTCATAGTGGA